GGTGTTTAGATGATGATGATGATAATGATGATGACAATAATTATTATTATTATCATTATCATCATCATCATCATTATTGGGTTCCTCTTTAATGGGAATCTGGAGCTAATTCAGAAACCTGTTTTAATCTCAATCTTTATTGATCGCTGTAACCAATGCCTAAAAGTAGGCAATCCATAGCCTGTTCTCAGATTTCCGATGGTTTACCAATTTTGAGTGTTTTAAAAAGGTCCAGTACAGAAACTGCAGGGAAACAACTATGCAAAAAGAAGCCAGAAGTGTTCCTCTTTAATGGGAATCTGGAGCTAATTCAGAAACCTGTTTTAATCTCAATCTTTATTGATCGCTGTAACCAATGCCTAAAAGTAGGCAATCCATAGCCTGTTCTCAGATTTCCGATGGTTTACCAATTTTGAGTGTTTTAAAAAGGTCCAGTACAGAAACTGCAGGGAAACAACTATGCAAAAAGAAGCCAGAAGTAATTGTTCTCAGGATGAAATACTGAATGCATCTAAACACCTGCTTTTCTAAGAAAACAAAGATTTGATTTTTTTAAGCAAAAAAAATACCTTTGACAACTTTGGTTTTTGAGCGTAATTACTTAAGTTCAGTTTAGACACATTTATGAAGGGACCATCAGGATTTGTGAGCATAGATGCCTGCAAGGGAAAAGACACAAAAGAGCTACTTTACATGAATGTTGAAATTATTAGAAAAACCATTTAACTACAATCCTCAACACTGTGATGATGCACAATGACAGCACACCCATTGAGTTGTTTCCAAGAGTGTTCACTGCTTTCACTTTCTTAAATAAACGAAACACTCAGGTTCCCACATGCCCCCATGAGGTCATAGCAACAGCACAGTCACCTCTGTCCAATCAGAGTAAAGAGGAGGCAGGTCACAGCTGGGAGACTGTACAGTTATGCCACAAACACAACACAAACATCACTGAATGTTGCTCTTTCAACAAACGTAGGTATGTCTTTTCCCTGTTGTTTCTTCATACACTGTTATTCCCTAGAAATGTGTTTTTGGATTGCATCCTTAGAATACAATCTTGTGCTTCTCTATTTAGAAATATTGAAGATCTAAAAATATCTTTTAAATATATATATATATATTTCATCTTGGCTACTTCAAAACAAATAGGCAAAAATATCTTTTACATTTTGCCTACTTCTAAACAGACATACAGAAGATGGTATTCTAGGGATAAATTAAGTGTTCTGCTTCATATACTAATATTGTGAAAATAAAATTTTGACATTCACATGGCAGAGAGAAAAAACATGTGACATGAGGAGCTCACCTTACTTACTGTAATATACACATGTATATTTCAAAATTCCAAAATACTAGGCGTTACATGATCTGAACATCATTCAGTTCTTCCTTCCCATTCTTACCGTTCCAAGTCTAACATATCTCCCTGAAGCACTTGTCATTGGACGGGCAGTATGAGCAGTTCTTGGAGTTTTTATGGCCTGTTCAATAGTACCTGGTCGTCCACCCTGTGTGCTAGGCCGTACAAATCCTGTAAGGGGTCTCCCTGTCTGAGTCACTGGCCTGGAAAAGACACATTCAAGGACATAATGCTGAAGTTACATTCTCTAATGTTACAAAAAAAGAGGTAATCTTACATACCAAAAGCTGAAGCGATTCAGAAAGGACGTATCAGCATCAGCCTGGTTTCCCACGCATGCAACTGCAAACAGATTTGGGAGTTTACCCTTCATCTTACATTCTAATATTAGTTCCACATTTCTGTAGAGGTTGTATGAAAATTAGCACACAATAGAAAATATATGCAATATTTAAAATGAATTGTTTGTGCCTTGCTGCTTTTAAATATGTTGCTAGAAATCTGGAAGTTGAGTCATGGCAGCTGGACTTCTTTTTTGTTAGGTCGAAACGTTTCGCTACTCATCCAAGTCACTTCTTCAGTCTGAGAAGAGTTGGTAGGAGATCCCTGATATATCCTCCAGGTTGGTTTCACTTCCCCTTAGTCTGAATAGGTTGTTAGAAGGACAAAGGACTGGGGGTGAGAGATAATCCCACTTCTTCAGTCCTTCTCCACCCATTGTCATGGGTCGTTAACAGTGGTCTTTCTGGTCTGTGTGGTCCAAGTCGCTTTTTCAATCTGAGGAGAATTGGTAGGAGAGAAGCTACTTGGATGAGTAGCGAAACATTTCAAGCTAACAAGAAAGAAGTCCAGTTGCCATGACTCAACTTCCAGATAACCTCACCTAGATCACTGGTTCTTAACCTTGGGTTACTCAGGAGTTTTGGACTGCAACTCCCAGAAGCCTTCACCACCAGCTGTCCTGACTGGGGTTTCTGGGATTTGCAGTTCAAAAGCATCCGAGTAACAAAGGTTAAGAACCACTGACCTAGATGACTGAGAATCTTCACAGATATCAAGGCAGAAAGGTACAATCTAGAAATGCGTTTTTAGTACTTTTTATTTATTTTTCAATTATGTTTGTTTAATTCATTTTCAATATTGTAATAATATATTATTTTTCTGCTTTTAATGTTGTTTCTTTTTAATACTGTCTCCTCTTTAAGAGAAAGGCAGGAAAAATAATTTAAATAAATAAATAGTTTCTTTTTAATACTGGCTCCTCTTTAAGAAAAAGGCAGGAAAAATAATTTAAATAAATAAATAATTGTATAACATATTTGTTTAAAGAGATGCCCTGTAATACCCTAATCACTTTTTCATCTAGATTTATATTTCTGTTTTTGTTTTGTTTTTGGAAAACTCAAATTTCCTTATTTTTACATACTTTATATGTGCTTGTCACTATGTCTCTAAGCTACTTTTGAAAGCCAAACAGCTAAAGATGCCACTCTTCTATTCACAATCATGGCTGTATGTATATACAACTGCTTATAAAAGAGAGCACAGATAAAAATCCACTTGTATAAAAGACGAATGCATGTTTATAATAAAAGTTGGAAATACGCATGTGCGCATATGCGTGTGCACACACAAGAACATCTGCGGAAGTATGAAGAATTCTCACAGATAAGATGGTTGAAGAAGTATTTTAAGCTGTATTTGAGATTTCACTAAATATAATTAACCAGTACGTAAATGGAACTGAATACCAGGAATAGGATTTTGATATCTTTTTGGACTACAAATCCCATAATTCCTCATTCTGGTAGTTTTATCTGATAGACAAACGCTTTACAGATATCTAAATGGGACTCACCTGGAAGAGAGGCCTAAACTGGAAATCTTTTGAGGCATAACTAGGCCTAGCTCCTCTCAAGCTTTTTGTTTCTACCCCAGAAGCTTTCTTTCTCAATAGGAAACTTGGCGGAAACTGGAAATCTTTTGAGGTATAACTAGGCCTAGCTCTTCTCAAGCTTTCTGTTTCTACCCCAGGAGCTTTCTTTCTCAATAGGAAACTTGGCGCAGCTAAACCTAACTAGGCCTCAAAGCCTTTCCACTTAGGCCTTTATCCCAGGTGAGTCACATTTAAGTGTCTGTTTGTAAGGTAAAACTCCCAGAATGGAAAATTATGGGATTATCTTTTGAGGTATAACTAGGCCTAGCTCTTCTCAAGCTTTCTGTTTCTACCCCAGGAGCTTTCTTTCTCAATAGGAAACTTGGCGCAGCTAAACCTAACTAGGCCTCAAAGCCTTTCCACTTAGGCCTTTATCCCAGGTGAGTCACATTTAAGTGTCTGTTTGTAAGGTAAAACTCCCAGAATGGAAAATTATGGGATTTGTAGTTCAAAATATCCAAAAACTCCTATGCCTATAGAATACAGTCAATAGACAAATGGGCCCATTAAACTTCTCAGTGTATTGAATACCTGACAGCTTGGCTAGGACCTCCACCTTGGCCAGTTCCAGGGATTTTCAATGAAGTACCTGGTCCTACAAAAAACATTACGTTATTTTATGCTGTACAGATCACTCCTTGTTCTTCCCCCTTCTTCCCCAATGCCCCTCCCCACATCTTTCCCAGATAAAACTAAAAGCAAAGGGCATAACTACTTCTGAAACATGTGAGATAAAAGGTCTAATGTTACACTTTGCTTTGAGATTACAAACGTAATGTTTCAGTCTATTATTTAGCAAGTCAATGGACGGAGACAACATCAGTAATTCAAGTTTTTGAGAATTATTTGACAAGAGGTAGAAGACACAACTAAAAATTTAAAGTACACTTCCCAACCACAAGAACAGCTTTGCCCTGGCATCAGAAGCTACTCTAAGCAGTGATAATATAAATGCTTAGAGCTTAAACTGTTATTGGATTGCACAGCTGAAGGGAACCCTGGCTTCTTTGACTGACCAGGGGATCAAGACCACTGGGAAACTGTGCTTCCTGTCTGACTAGAAGGACATGATGTTAAGAGAAAAATGTCATAGAAACTACAGTACTCTAAGCAGTGATAATATAAATGCTTAGTTAGAGCTTAAACTGTTATTGGACTGCACAGCTGAAAGGAACCCTGGCTTCTTTGACTGACCAGGGGATCAAGACCACTGGGAAACTGTGCTTCCTGTCTGACTAGAAGGACATGATGTTAAGAGAAAAATGTCCTGGTCTCTTGAAAAGCAAAAAAGGAGAAGTTGGGTATTTGCACTAGCTTTGCCTAAGCAAGAATTCCATTGGGAAGATTAGCCTGACACTAACCACATATAAACATCCGATCAAGTCATCTTCCTGGCACTGCAAACCAATCTTTCTCCACTTGCTTCTCCCCTATTCTGCTTCTTTTGTTAATTTCAGCCAGAGAGCAAGATGTGTATATCAGATTTGGGTAACCAGAACCACTTTTTGAGCGAATATAGGAAGTGGAATGAACGATATAAACAACCAATCTGTTAAAGTCATCTTCCTGGCACTGCAAACCAATCTTTCTCCACTTGCTTCTCCCCTATTCTGCTTCTTTTGTTAATTTCAGCCAGAGAGCAAGATGTGTATATCAGATCTGGGTAGCCAGAACCACTTTTTGAGCGAATATAGGAAGTGGAATGAACTAACTTAGGGCTGTACAGTATCTACTAATAACAACTGAAAGTCTACTAGGACAAGAAGGTTAGTCCATCCCATTGTCCCAATTGCAGCCTTTCAAGAAAGGACCGATTCTCATGAAAAGCTTTTCAGAAGGTTCAAGGGTTGTAGAGGATATTCTTTGGGTCAGTGTACTTTCACAGCACTGAATGTAGCTTTGTAATAATCTAAACATTAAACTGTTATCTCAGGATACTGGGAAATCTTCTGGAAAAAGCCATGTTGCTAAATCAGCAACTTCTAGAATGCAATATTTCTCTCAGATGATGGGTATACAGTATAAGGGTTCAAGGACAAGATTTGAATAGATGGACTTGCTACAGTAGCCCTCTGAAAATGTTTAAAAAACAAACAAAAATAAAACAAAACCCACACAAGTACGATGAAAAAACAAACTTGCAAAATGAATGCACTGAAACAGAGTGGAAAGTAAGGATATTAAAAATGATTTTTAAAGAAAAAAACACAGGACAATGACTGATAGTGTTCACTTATCCCAAAGTACATTACGGGAAACCATCTAGGTGGCTGCAGAACAGTAATTCTGAAGTCCTGGGGAAAAGCAGTCATACATTTTGGAGTAACTAAATGCAGCTTACGTGCAACTTGTGCAATTGCGTTTTCATCAAGCATCATCTCAGCAATGCCTTCCTGGTCCACATCTATTTCATCCACATAAACCATTTCAGTTAATGCTCGTATTTTCAAGCACCAAGCAGCCTGGATGATAAGGGAACAGAGGAATCATGGTTCAGTAAACCTCAGATATATATATAGAAGAGACATAAGACTACATGTTGGCCTGTTTAATCGCTCTCATGGACCCAGTGGAACACACGGATGACAGTCAGACCAGCAGAAAGTCTGATGGCAGATATAATAGAAGTGAAGAATATGGAACAGTTGGATATTAGGACTGCAGTGACCTTTCGGTGGATTCTAGCCTGTCTGAAAATCATTCCAAGGCATTTTAAATGGCAGTTTTGGAGGGATAGGTCTTTTGCAGAAAAAGGCAAATTGTGATAGCAATTCCGGTGTGGGCACTGTTCCAAGGTACATGCACTCTCAAAATCATAAACAGCTTGTTTTAAAGATTATAAATCCTGCTCCTTTGCAAGAATCACATATTTGGCAAAAAAAAAAAAGCATACACCCAAACCAAGTAAGAAATTAGATGGCTGCTGTTCCATTGCGTTGAAAATGCAATCTCATGAAAACATTTACTAATGCAAACAAATTGTGTTTGCTAACAACCTGAAAGTATTCTGAGCAGATCAGTCAGCTTATTAAATAAGAAGTAAAACCAGCTTTTCCTTAATAGCAAAACAGCAACAACAAACAAACAAAAACCCAGGAAGGTATTCATCTCCATGTGCTAATTTTATTTAAAGCCAGCTTACAGAAGACCAAGGGAAAGCAGTAAAATGGTAAAATATAGCTGCCTAAATAATTAGAGATTCCTTTTCAGTCACAGAACAGATTGCCATATGTTTCTCTGAAAAACGTTTACAATCTAAATAAGACAGACCTTCTATTCACTATGGTAAAGACAATACAGAGCTAGCATTTCACATAAAAAGCATCAAAAGAAGCTTTCCAGATTACAGGAAACACACCATTTTTCAAAGCCAGAGAATTAGCAAAGAGATTTTCTATTAGGAGTCCCTCCTCCTTTGAAAATCTGATATCAAGTTTAATACAGAGACAGTTATATAGGAACCCTCCATTTTGCCTTAACATTCTAACTCGTTTCACAAATGCTTCCTGTACTAATCCTTGAAGCAAAGGCTTCCATGACCATAGTGTAAAGCAAGTGGTACACATGAAGAAAATGCAGTGGCTGGAAGGAAAGGGGAAGTTATGTAACCACACTTTTAGAAAATCTGCAAGCTTTAATAAAAGAAATACAATGCCTGAGAGATTTGAATCAATAGCAGTGCATGACTCCTACTTTAGCACATGCAACAAACAACAGAGCAGGGGGAAGTTGATTTCACACAACTGTTACAGTACAGTAAAGCGAAGGAGTTGTACATCTCAGAATTAAATACAACCTAGCCCAGATCATATGCTTGTCTGTAAGGAGCCATCACATGGTGGGAAACATCCCAGCGGAAATCACAGGTGCCAGACCTCAAAGCAGATACAAATACAGTAGTAGCTTCCCTTACAATTTTCAGGTTGTTTAGACTGTGGTGTAAGCATTTTGTGTAAGGCAACAAAGAGCACAATGCACTCCTGCCTTGCGGTTTGTTTTGCTATCTTCTTGTTTATACATTTTTGCTCCCCAAATAAAGCCTAACATCTCATGTTATTCACAGTGTGAAAAATATATACTGTATAGCGCTATCTTTGCCCAATGTGTGTGGTAAGAAATGACGGAAAGGTACATATTCTAGGCAGGGACCTAGTCGTTACTTTAAGTACTGTAACTACTGAGAAACTTCCTTCGGATTTATGTCTGGTTACAAAGAAATAAACATGGTGGAGTCTTTGGAATTAGCGAGCTTTGATTTCAACCATGTTTTCAAATCACTTAATATGAACTGAAAGGAGACTAATTTCATTTGCAGAAAAGGACAATACCACTAGATAATAGTTTCAACAAACTATTAAACACAGTGAGCCACTGATGGACACTAATAGGACACATCAATTAAAAAAAGAGGATTATCTAACCTTTCATCACTAACAATTACTAGAAAAGAAAATTGTAAAAAGAGCTGTACTATATGAAACTAAATGCCTGAATTGTTGTATCTTTCTCTTAACAACAGAGTACTGAAGAGAAAGGAAGAAGGAACCACAAGAATCTTCCATATGCCTGATGTGCCTATGGCAAATTTTAAAATACTGTATGACTAATTATTCTGAGTAGCTATTGAGGATAAACCAAGTTTTCGGTTCTGCCCATTTGTATGTGAGATATTTGAGGTGTTGTTTTACCAGTTCCACACCCTCAGGCTGCTTCCAAAACCATCTATTGCTAGGATTAAGTGACCCACATTTAAATTGTTGTTGTAATGAAGATTTTATGGAAGTTTTATACAATTTACAGTTATTAAGGAATAAATATATTAAAAAACCCTGAATTACGTTTTGGATTGGTATTCCATCTTCGCACTCAGGAATCCTCTATTCTAACTTAATGCAATGGCTGTCAACTGTGGTGGGACAGAGAGGTGGACTCTTAAAAATCAACAAGTTTTATTTAGCTCTTCTGAAGTACTGCCTAGTTCATTACATGAATGTAGCAATTTCACGCAACAGACTCCATCTTAATGTGTTGCAAATCTCATAAGGTTTCTGCAGAACATCTTATTCTCAAAAGGAAAAAAAGGATTATGTGATGGTGAGGAACAAACATAAAAAACCTGCAAATAATCTAATTTGCTATCAAGTGTGTGGAGCACTATTGAGGTGAATATGTTTTCATAGAAAAAGACTTAATAATACCAAGCAATTATATATACAACCTTAGAGATCTCCAGGAATTTAGTGTATATTATCTTGCTATAAAATAGCAATCACCTTGCATAATGAATTTACTTGTCTATGGTTCATTAGCAAATTTAGAGGTAGCAAGACTGGAACCAGGAATATCTTGATTTGTAAGTACTATACAAATAGCCACTTCACTCAACTCTGTGCATTTAAGACATACTTTTCGACGATAACATTTGGACCACCACCTATTTTACCATTGATTACTACTGTAAAAAAGAAAGGGAAGTCATATGGAAATTCCCATGTAATATAACTTATTTAATACATCAGTAATGTACTGTGTACAGTGTAGGAATCAATATTTATTTCTTCTAAAAAGGAACACTGAAAACAAATTATATAAATGTACAAAGAAAAACACATAATTGCTAAATAATCCAGCAAGAAAATATGAACATTTTCTTCTGTGCATTTCAGGTTTACTGTAAACCAGTGTTAGTTCCCTGCCTTCAAACTGACATATGGAACACAAAGAACAATAATCTGATTAGGCAACTAATCAGGATAATCAAGCAAGACAGCAGCACAGAAGCATGTTCCTGCTAGGTCATGCAACTGCTATAAGCACAGAAGCCAAGTTGTGTTTTCGATAGATGATGAAAGTTTTTTTGGCAGTAGTATTTGCTTTAGCCTCTATCTTCTTCTCTCCCTGTTGCTTTCCTCAAATATTATTTTTAAAGACAGTATGTAACTGTCTTCTTGGAAATAAATTCCCCTGAGTTCCATATGTCCTACCGTTAAGTGTTATATTATAACACTGTAACACTTACGCAGTTATACTGTTATACTGTAACACTTAATAAGCACATAATTAAAAATTCTAGTTTTAAAATACCAAGTATTCTTGTACTATTCTTTTTACCCACAAAAATACCTTACTATGCCCAAAGTCAGAAATAAATCAGTCAGTCTTGTTCATTAGATTTAAACTACTCTTTGTTAAAACATACAGATTTGATCTTGGATTTTGGTGTTTTGGGGTATAATCAATTCCTTTTTAAAGTACTAATTCAGTTACACATACTGCACTTCCTACTGACAGTTCAATCCTATGGTGCAGGCATGCATTCCCGAGGCCATAAGAATGATTAAAAATGCCTTTCCAAAGTATGAGACAAACCCTGACCTTGGAAGGGATGATCTGACCTTGCTACCTAAATTCCGCAGATTTTAACATATTTCTGGGGGTAGGGGAGCCATGCCTCTTGTTTAACATCCTCTTCTCATTTCTTTAAGGTTATACATACAGCCTATGCACATTTACCAAATACCATGTATTTTAAAACTGTATATTTGTCTAACAGGATTGGGAGAGGCATTCCAATCTACACAATCCCATGGTGGAATCTGAAACCTACATCCCTGACTTGGATTTGCAGCACCAATTCTGAAATTTACTTTTAAAAAAAAGAACCTAACATGGATATCCGGCCATTATTTTCGGAATATTTGTTTTCTTCTGCACAATCCACAGCTTTGTGATTAACATCTGTATGGGGTCAAAAGCTACATTACGTTTATAATTTTTAGGTGTCTAATAAAGGTGTCATCCAGCCTTGCCTTTGGTCTGTGTACAAGGACCACATGCCTTTCTTTCCTTTTTGTAGAGATTTCAAGCTATGTGGGATACTGTATTTAAGGAGTAGTTTTACCAGTGCTACCCCTTAATGCATTTCCACGGCCATGGTTTGAAAAACGTACTCGTCCACTCGTCTGTGATGAGTGAAAATGCTCCTCAATGAGTCACAGCTCCCTGCCTGCCTGCCTGCCTGCCTGCCTGCCTGCTTCCTTCTCTTCTGCCTCTCTCTCTCTCTCTAATCCTGAGGTCCTCTGCTCCCCCTCCCATTGCAAAAGTCCGGTCATGCTGACTGGTGAAATTTTTGACTGACTGGTGAGACATTCTAAAAATTTTCAAGCCCTGTCCATGGCCAACCAGGGATTTGAACTGAACACTTAAAAAAAAAAGTAAAGGCAAAGGTTCCCCTTGACATTTTAGTCAGTCATGTTCGACTCTAGGGGGCGGTGCTCATCCCCGTTTCCAAGCCGTAGACCCAGCATTTGTCCGAAGACAGTCTCCGTTGTCACGTGGCCAGTGCGGCTATACATGGAACGCTGTTTACCTTCCCATCGAGGTGGTACCTATTTATCTACTCGCATTTACATGCTTTCGAACTGCTAGGTTGGCAAGGAGCTGGGACAAAGCGACGGGAGCTCACTCCGTCATGTGGATTCGATCTTATGACTGCTGGTCTTCTGACCCTGCAGCACACAAAGGCTTCTGCGGTTTAGCCCACAGCACCAACTGAACACTTCCTGAATCCTAATCTGATACTGTACTCTGTCCACTATACTGCATTGGCTCTCAGAAGAAGTACATTAGCCATCAAATTCTTGGGGGGGGGGAACTATTGCCATGTAGTTGGCAGCAACTAGGGTTGGAATTGGAATATGAGTTGTCCTTGCAACAGTTCTTACCAGAATTCCTCCATCCCTGTGCTTGCTATTATGACAGTATCAAAGAAAGCTCTTCTTCCATTGCAAACAACAAGCCAAGGTATCTGAGGGTTGGTTAAGCGAACAACAGGCCAGCAGGGGCTGTGGTAAATGCAAATCCCTTCCCATCCTAGGGTTGTTAGATATTACTATGCTGAATCCTGGCCTAACTTTATGACAACATAGTGGCTTAGTTTGGATGATTAGGGATTTTAAACAGAAACTTTGCTCCTGCCATGCTCATCCTTTCTGTCCTCACCCCTTCCCTTTTTTGGCTCCTCAGTCTTACCCAGGACAGCATTTGGGCCAATAGATTTGAGATCAGTCAGCATGAGGACTTTGCCAGCTCAAGGGCAGCCAAGCTGGCACAAGGGGCTTCTGTGTCTACAACTGGCGGCACATTTTTGGATTAGGATTGCACTGAAAATAAGGAAGTAAATCACATTATCTCCACAGTGGGCATAACAGCTTAAAGATCCCCTTTTTCCATGCCATGGCCTGATCCAGGTCCTCCTTGTCATTCTGGCTCATTGACTGAAATCCTATTACACAGCTCCACATGTGCAACAGTGATGGCAGCAGCAGAAGCAGCAGCATATCAAGACTAATAAAAGTTTTCTTTTGGGGATTTGGGGGTGCATATAACTTCAGCACATTGTACAAGTTGTGTGCCCCCCAAAATTGCCTTAAATCAGTGATTTGCCTTTAATAAATAGTGATTTGCTGCAGCCATTACTGCAGACATAAACTCTACTGGACACGTGCAACTGCACAGGACTTCAGCCACCTTTTAACAAAAGCCAACCATGCAATGCCAAACTCATTTAGCCCCCAAACTTCTCTCTTTGGAGAATTTTGCCTAGCTATTCTCTAACCAGCCCCACCTTCCAAAATAAGCTGTTCTGTGAAATACTTGCTAATTCTACCAGCATATCAAATCAATTATCTACTCTCATTAAAATAATTTCTTAAAATCTTCCCTCAAAGCAGATAAGCAATAGCTAATTTTGAATATTACAGGAAGCTTCTTTGCAAGGTAATATCATATTTTATTACATTATCCTATAACAGCTTCTTCATTGCTTTCAAACACATTTGGGAGGAAAAGTGTGTGAAATTGTCAAAAGATCTACTTAAATGAAGCATCATCTGCATCTTCCCCTTTCTTTGCTAATGTCACGTTATCAAGGAAGGGAACTAGCTAACTTGAGTGTGTTTTGTCTTTTTAAAAAATCATGTTAACTAAAACGTTTTTGGCTTTCCTCTATGTGCTAACAAACTGTGTGCTCATTATTTGCACCAGTACCCTGACACCATGAAGGCAAGTAACCTGTTTGCTTCATTCTTTGAACACCTTTTCCATTCTCTATTACTTCAAACTTGCTTCATCAGGATCTAGTTCAGAAACTCTGGTAACCTAGTTCTGACAACAGATGAGGAAAAATAGCAAAACAAACCAACAAACCAACAAACCTGTAAACAATTGTTTTAAAGTTAAGCAACAAACAGATGCAGTATTGTGATTGTATATACCATGTTACCAGTAATAGCACTGAAATCCCCAAAGATATCTCGTTTCTCTGTCCTCCTTTTCTCTCAGCCTGCTTTGTTATAGATTAGAACTGGTGTTGTCATACTGTATCTGCATCCAGGTCCCCATACAAGTGCAGGGACCTAAAAGAGGGCGGTGGTGGTTACATTTCTGTACAAGTAGAATGTACACAAGGTAAACAGATGCCAGAGGTGCATAAGGGAGCGTTTCCACGGGATTCAGTGCATCTACCTAGTACCAAATGCACTGCTTCCGCTGGCACAGAGCCACACACACACGTCTACCTGGTGCCCTAGATTTCTTCGTTACCTGGTCGCCAGGTTCTTTTTCCAGCAACTGGGAGCACAGATCCGAGCAGAGCTGGAACTTCCTCCGCCTGAAGTAACTCAAGGCGTGGACCAGCGGATCCATCTCCAGCCCCATGAGGACAGTGGGCGGCCGAGCGAGCAGCGGCGACAACGACAACAACAACAACAACACACCACCTCTACTCCTCTGTGTGTGTGTCTCTCTCTCTGTCTCCGCCTAGGCCCGGCAAGCGAGCAGCGGCGACAACGACAACAACACACCACCTCTACTCCTGTGTGTCTGTCTCTCTCTCTCTCTCTGTCTCCGCCTAGGCCCGGCGTCCCAGCTTGGCTTTGCCCAGCAACGCTGCAAGCAGGGTCCTCGGAGAAGCATAGGCGCCTAAGCGACTGCCTGCGAGAGAAAAGAAGACACCGCCTCAAGGATTGCGAGCGAGCCTGGTGCTGACGACGAGCCAGCCCTTCCCACGCGTCTTGCGCGAGAACTGGGGTGGCCGGTTGGCCTTAACTTACTTTCGACATCAGCAGTGTCTGCTGAAAAGCTCTTTTCCTGGGCGAGGTGTCGCGTCCCATTTGTCTCCCTTAGCTTTTCCTTCCCCCCCCCCTCCCCGCTCCCTGCGGGGGAATTAGCGCCGCTAGTTTTTGACAGGATTCCTTTCGCGGTCTTCAGACACACAACCCGAATAAGAGAAATAGGAAAAAAAAACTTTTCTAGCAACAGAGTAAAGATGCAGGAAAACTTCTTCCTGGTGGTTTATTTCTGTTTGGAGTGGGAATTTTTTAATGGCTGAGAAACTCTGCCTGGGGGGGAAAGGGATGATCCTCCTTTTGTCTAGGAGGGAATTATTTTTAAATTTTATTCCACCTTTCCTCTGTTGTAGATAAAGTGACAGGAAAACTGACATTAAGAATCCTCACATAGAACTAATGTGACCCAGAGCCAGTCATCATGGGGGAAAACATATCTGGTATTTTGAAACAGAAATGGAAAAAGATGACTGCCACTTAAATAATGAAATGTAGATGATTGAATGGTCTGCCTCAATATAAGAAAGCTTCCTCAATTACAGTGTGCTCTGTTCTTGTTACATGCTATCGAGTCATTTTAGACTTATGGCTGTCCTATCAATTAGGGACCCCATCTTCGATGTACACAAGGTAGTAACAGAGTTTGAAATTATCAGTGAAGCTGAGAGCAATGCTACCAGGAGACTAAATTCCATTATTAGTTTGGACTCCTAAGAGGTTCACCCAAGACAGAATGATCACACCAGACTACACATCCATCCTCTGTAAGGATAATGGCCATATTAGCAGAAAATAATGGATTGTTCCCAGGGGGCACAGCTACTGGACAACAGTGGTGGAGGCAACGGTAGTGCTTTTTGTTAGTTAACTTTTATTAGCACCGTGCAGAAGGTGGCAATGGTAAACCACTATTGACCATTCCTGACCATGAAAGCCTATGATGAGACAGTCCTATGGTGATGGGGACAGCAGCTACTCGGCAGGGGCAGTAGCTGAAGGTGACACTGGTAGAGGAGGCAATGATGATAACACTCAATCTAACTTTTGCTAGTAGTGTGCAGAAGATGGTAATGGGAAATCACTACTGAACTTTCCTTACCGATATTGCAAATATCTGCTGGCTCTTGGAACGCACCAGAAATTTTAGATTAGTCTCTGTTTTATAGGCAACAGCAAAGCCTTAGACTTTGTGGATCATCAAAAACTATGTTTTTTGGGGGGGATGGTTGTGCCTCAGCACTTGATTGTCCTGATGCAAGACCTGTATTGTGGACAAGAATGGAGAGAGAAAATGGTTTTCTCTAGGCAACGGTGTCAGACAAGGATGCATTTTATCCCCTTATCTGTTCTATATGTACATAGAGCATATCATACAGAAAGTCAGACTAGATCAGATGAAGGAAGAGAGAAAATTGGTGGAAGAAACATCAGTAATTTAAGACATGCAAATTATACCATCTTATTGGCAGAAAGCAACAACAACCTTAAATGATTTTTAGCAAAAGAAAAAAAGATGCCAATGCAGGACAGCAGCTGAATACAGTATTAAGAAGACAAACATCATGACTACAAAAGAACTGTAGTTGACAATGTTGACAATGAAGAAATTGAAATAGAGATTTTGTATACCTTTGCTCAATCATCAATCCAAATGGAGATTGCAGCCAGGAAATCAGAAGGACTGAAACTAGGAAGGGGAGCAATGAAGGAATTAGAAAAGATAATCAAATGTAAGGATGTGTCATCAAAGACTAAGACCAAGATCATCCACACTATTGTATTCCTGATCATTATTTATTATTTATTTATTTAAAATATTTCTGTCCCACCTTTCTCCCCAAAAGGACCCAAGGCAGCTGTATGAATGTGGAAGCTAGACAGTAAAGAAAGCTAACAAGAAAAAAAGAGATTAATCTGAAATACAATGTTGGAAGAAAGCTTTGCAGATACCTTGCACACAAGAAAGATAAACAAGTAGGTCTAGAGCAAATCAAGCCTGAAGGCAAAAATGTTGAAACTGAGGCTGTCTACTTTGGGCACATAATCAGAAGGCAAGATTCTCTGGAAAAGAGAATAATGCTGGGAAAGATGGTGGGAGCAGAAAAAGAGAAGCACTTAAATTGGAATGCTTTGACTCAATAAAGGAAGCCATGGCCTTTGGTTTGCAAGACCTGAGTCAGTCTGTTAATGATGGCCGGTTCTAGAGGTCTCTACTTCATAGTGTTGCCATAAATCATAAGTGACTTGACAAGCAGTTAAAAACACTAATCCTGCCAGAGCCTTTCCTGTTAGAAATCAAGTAAGCTTTTTTCTCTCTCTGATTTTATGGCATTTCAGTAGCTTTTGTCATTACAATCATGTTTCTATCTGCTCAATGACATTTCTTGTCCTAAATCACATAGTAACTTCCATTTCTATTCTAGGGCGCTAAGTTAAATGGATGGATGATCATTAGGTTCATGCCAGGATTATTCTGTCGTCTTAGTCTAGACAAGATCTTAGATTACCTTGTGCTACATTTTTAATACATCATCATGCATAAATCCTTTTCCTTTCAATGATAATGATAATTTTAAGCACCTTAGCTTTCCCCCTACAAAACAACTTATAAAGAGGGGAGGTGTTACATACAGCACTGATGTTACCTGTCTGTCATGGGTTTGGAGGGAAAGTTCCATCCTATGGGGAGTGGAAGGCGGGACATCAGGAGGAGGGGCTGTACTGTATAGAAATAGGAAAAAAAAACTTTTCTAGCAACAGAGTAAAGATGCAGGAAAACTTCTTCCTGGTGGTTTATTTCTGTTTGGAGTGGGAGTTTTTTAATGGCTGAGAAACTCTGCCTGGGGGGGAAAGGGATGATCCTCCTTTTGTCTAGGAGGGAATTATTTTTAAATTTTATTCCACCTTTCCTCTGTTGTACATAAAGTGACAGGAAAACTGACGTTAAGAATCACATAGAACTAATGTGACCCGGAGCCAGTCATCATGGGGGAAAACATATCTGGTATTTTTAAACAGAAATGGAAAAAGATGACTGCCACTTAAATAATGAAATGTAGATGATTGAATGGTCTGCCTCAATATAAGATAGCTTCCTCAATTACAGTGTGCTCTGTTCTTGTTACATGCTATCGAGTCATTTTAGACTTATGGCTGTCCTATCAATTAGGGACCCCATCTTCGATGTACACAAGGTGGTAACAGAGTTTGAAAGTATCAGTGAAGCTGAGAGCAATGCTACCAGGAGACTAGATTCCATTATTAGTTTGGACTCCTAAAAGGGTCACCCAAGGCAGAATGATCACACCAGACTACACATCCATCCTCTGTAAGGATAATGGCCATATCAGCAGAAGATAATGGATTGTTCCCAGGGGGCACAGCTACTGGACAACAGTGGTAGAGGCAACGGTAGTGCTTTTTGTTAGTTAACTTTTATTAGCACCGTGCAGAAGGTGGCAATGGTAAACCACTATTACTTTTATCTGTGCAGAAGGTAGCAATGGTAAACCACTATTGACCATTCCTGACCATGAAAAGCCTATGATGAGACAGTCCTATGGTGATGGGGACAGCAGCTACTCGGCAGGGGCAGTAGCTGAAGGTGACACTGGTAGAGGTGTGCAGAAGGTAGCAATGGTAAACCACTATTGACCATTCCTGACCATGAAAAGCCTATGATGAGACAGTCCTATGGTGATGGGGACAGCAGCTACTCGGCAGGGGCAGTAGCTGAAGGTGACACTGGTAGAGGACGGTGGTAGCTGAATGTGACACTGGTAGAGGAGGCAATGATGATAACACTCAATCTAACTTTTGCTAGTAGTGTGCAGAAGGTGGTAATGGGAAATCACTACTGAACTTTCCTTACCGATATTGCAAATATCTGCTGGCTCTTGGAACGCACCAGAAATTTTAGATTAGTCTCTGTTTTATAGGCAACAGCAAAGCCTTAGACTTTGTGGATCATCAAAAACTATGTTTTTTGGGGGGGATGGTTGTGCCTCAGCACTTGATTGTCCTGATGCAAGACCTGTATTGTGGACAAGAATGGAGAGAGAAAATGGTTTTCTCTAGGCAACGGTGTCAGACAAGGATGCATTTTATCCCCTTATCTGTTCTATATGTACATAGAGCATATCATACAGAAAGTCAGACTAGATCAGATGAAGGAAGAGAGAAAATTGGTGGAAGAAACATCAGTAATTTAAGACATGAAAATTATACCATCTTATTGGCAGAAAGCAACAACAACCTTAAATGATTTTTAGCAAAAGAAAAAAAGATGCCAATGCAGGACAGCAGCTGAATACAGTATTAAGAAGACAAACATCATGACTACAAAAGAACTGTAGTTGACAATGTTGACAATGAAGAAATTGAAATAGAGATTTTGTATACCTTTGCTCAATCATCAATCCAAATGGAGATTGCAGCCAGGAAATCAGAAGGACTGAAACTAGGAAGGGGAGCAATGAAGGAATTAGAAAAGATAATCAAATGTAAGGATGTGTCATCAAAGACTAAGACCAAGATCATCCACACTATTGTATTCCTGATCATTATTTATTATTTATTTATTTAAAATATTTCTGTCCCACCTTTCTCCCCAAAAGGACCCAAGGCAGCTGTATGAATGTGGAAGCTAGACAGTAAAGAAAGCTAAC